CCCGCGCGCCCCGCAGGTGCCGCGGCTGCCCCGCCGGCCCTGGCTCCTGGGCGACTCAGAGCTTTAGCCAAATTTGATCTCGGTTCTTCTACTCCTCACCACCAACCCCTCCCGGTTGTTTTCATCATAACAATGTCAGGTATATTCTCCCTGGCGGGTTTACAAGCAATGGTCAGCGTTGAGAATGAGTCACCCTGCGAAATTGCCTACTCAGCTGCGTCTTCCCCAAATCAGTCCCATCTGGGCCGCGGTGGGGACGAAGATGTCCCTTGATCTGCACCTTTTTTAAGAATCACTAAGGAACTTGTTACTGTGGGGTGGGTCTGGAGATCGGGGTTACTGACAACTGTAAGCAAGCGGAGTGTGGTGGGGGTGTTAGTGAAAAGGTAAAGAATCCTTACTGTTTGCAAGGTTCAAAGCAAACAGACAAAAAAATCCCAGCTATCTTTCTTTTGGACTTTGAGGTCTACAAGAGACCGTTCACTGCAAAAAAAATTTACCCAAAAGCATGCATTAAAAGATTCCTCAAAGTCACTCAATCCTATTCTACTGCATTCCACAAACTTACACATTTCTACTACAACCACTATTTTGCTAAACATAAATTACACCTGATTTTTTGCTGCTTAGAAGACTGCAATCCAGTAATCCTAGGATAGCAGGCCAGTCAGTGTGGTCTCCACCAGCAAAACAAAAGTTCAAAAGAACACCCCAAAGCGTATCTGCCAAGGGCAACTTTCAACCTGGCCTGTTAGAGGGAAAGGTGCTGCAGTTACATCATCTCCGCTTCTGGAGAAGTGAGAGCCCTGACGGCTAGGAGTTGACAGTAATGGAGAGGGGGTGGGGGAAAACTAATGCAGAGTATTTGCCTCCAATTGACACGAGTCACCTTACTACCACAGTGGAAATGGTGCTGGTGGCGAACCAACGAACCCAGTGACCACTGATCTAGCAGCACACGAGTGTTCAAAGATCCATTTCAACTTTAAAATGCACCAAGATGTAGACAAGACAGCTTTAAAAATATCCAATTTATAATTAAACTTACGTAGAGTGGTCATAACATTTTTAAATGACCATTTTTAACATCACAGCAGGGGCGATACATTTTCTGAAACAGTTTTCAATGACGACATTTTCATAGTCCTTATAAGAGCCATTTTGCAAAAGTATACACCCCAATTTCCAAGCTGGGATCATCTTCAGTAAGTCCCAGTAGTCACAAGGAGCACAGAAAACAAGTTGGGGTAAAATGACTTTCTAGCTGAAAGATTACTCTCCAGGTCTTTCATCCTGGAAACTAAACCCATCAGAATGTGAAAAGTCACCCTATTTCTACTGTTTTTAAAATATGTAGTGGAAGATGTTACTGTATATACTACAACATATGACTTCGTATTTTCCTAATTTGTATCTGAAGCTATTTTAAATATATTTTTAAAGAATAACACCTAATGAAGTCCAGGGGACTTAAATGTGATTGGTGATTAACAGTAAGTGGGCTTAATCGGCATTCCCTGAACTGAGGAAATGAGCTGGAGGATGGGTACTGGGAGGATTTATATTAGCAATGGAGGGAAGGGTGACAGGCATGCTATCGAGCAGAACCTGAAGACACACGTGGAGACGGACTGCCACCATGACGTGCAAGTGGCGGCTTGCAAGTGGGGAGAGAATGACAGCCTTTGCAAGAAAATCTGTGTTTTGTGTCCCTAGAAGCAGCATGGTTTGTAGTAAAATGTTCAGGAATTTCTCCTTTCCCCTCTTTAATAAACACCCCCCCACTTTCCCACTCCAAGAAAAAAAATTAAACACCCCCCCAACTTTCCCACTCCAAGAAAAAAAATGCACACACAAAAGAAAAACAAAACAAATTTAAAAATCTGTCTGGTTAAAAAAAATAATAACAAAAGAAATGGCGGGATGGAATGTTGCATAGGTGGAGATTCCCTGACTCACGTGAAGGCTCTAAGCATTAAGCACAGGGCTTTTCAGCTGCTGTGCTGCATCTCCTCCCTTGGCACTGCTTTCCAGTAACTCACCCTTTTAGTCCTTTGGTTCTGACACTGGGGCTGGAACAAACCATAGAAGCTTCAATGTGAGGGGGTGGCTCTGACAACAAATCTCAAACACCAGTGGGACCTGTAGTAGACAAAGTCCTGGAAGTACCTGGATATCCAGGACCAGGAAAGAGAAAAGGCAGACGAAAGAATCACAGCTGAAAGTCCCCTATCACAAATCTACTGGAGCCTTCTCGTTTTACAGGTGTAGAAACCAAGATCCTGAGAAGTGGCAGATTCATTATCATAGAGCTGATTTTGGTAAAGCCAAGGCCAAAACAAAAGTGCCAGTTCCATGTTATTCACATGTCTCAAGAGAACTTCTCAAATCCAAGAATTTAAGGGCAGTTAGGTAGGAAAGAGATTAACTTAAAAAAAAAATAAAGGGACATAAGGAGGGAAGAATAAATGAAGGGAG